TATAAGGTAAAGGTAAAGGTTCCCTTGCTCGAAAGCCAGTCGAATCCGACTCTAGGGTTGCAGTGCTCATCTCCGTTTCAAAGCCGAAGAGCCAGCGCTGTCCGAAGACGTTTCCGTGGTCATGTGGCCGGCCGGCATGACTAAACACCAAGGCACACGGAACGCTGTTCCCTTCCCACCGAAGTGGTACCTATTTATCTACTTGCAATTTCTTGCAGTTCAGCGTCTCAACCACTTGAGCCACCGCAGCCAACTATACCAAGGTCCAGTTCCCACCAAGGGTTACCAGTAAAAGAAGTCGAGGCTGTTGTTGTTCAAAATAACTGTCTTTTACTTAAGAAGATAAATCACATACAAACAATACTGATGCTCTCATATATTCAATCAAGTTCCTTAGAAATAAAGTATTAAACATAAGCACATTTGCATTAGCAGGTAGGGGGTGATACTTATCTGTCCTGAAGCTTTGTTCGTTCCAATGAAGAATGGATGGGGAGAAATAGAATTCTAGGGAAGTTTAACACACGGCTAGAACCAGCCAGCACGTGTGGGCAATAGAGGCAAGGGTTGGGGATAGCAAGCTGGACAAAAGGGGAGTTAAAGCAGACAGGGGGTGTTGCGGGGATTGCGGCTAGCAAGGGCCAGGCAACTGGTCCTTACGTTTATAGGTGGTTCTTTGGGTGGGTGGCAACTGTGCCAACGTGTGGACCTACCTACCTGGTAGTCCATCCCAAAACTAATCCTATTGGTTGCGTGTAGTGAGGGGTGGCAACCTAGAGGGTAGGGCAATATTGTAACTTAAGATCTAACTCAAAGGATGGCATCTGGGCAAGTGTGAAAACTTGGTCAAGGAACCTCCTTGAAGTGCAGATGAAGCTCGGCCATTCCCTGGTCATCAAAGGGTCCATCTGGCAGGAAATGCCAATGTAAAATAAAGCAGAGATGTAGCATACGTGACAGCAGACAGTTCAACAATGGGGTCTGTTTCTCCTTAGGTTGTTCTTTTGCTGACAATATGGAGATGTGTGCTTTCCCACAAGGCTGATGCTGTGTAGCTGAAACCTCATTCATATATAAGGCTTATGCAGGCATCTTCTATGTGTAGCATCACAACAGGTGATTTGTACAGCTTTCTGAGCCTATGTGTGTATGTGTGCACAGTCCATTGTGTGGGTGTAACAGCAAATATAAGTTCATAAAGCAAATTTTAGTCTTATTTCTTAACAATATGTTCTAGCCTTTTTTCCTGGAACAGCATTTTTGTGACTAGACTGGACTCGCTGGTCAGAAAAGGGCCCAAGGCAAAATGCTTCATAGGCTGGGCTGGAACCGGTGACTGATCAGCGTGACGGAACTACACTGGCCACATTCCCAGGACTCCCTGTTGAATCACCACTGACACACGCACAAAAGAAGAAGAAAGGAAACACGTGCAATGATGGGAAACAACCATAGATGCCCTGCTGGTTACAGTCATGCTGGTGGGTTCCCCGTGGGATCTGTAGTTCTACTCTCATGGGGCGACCTCAGTTTGCCAGGGGGCACCTCCACAACTGCATGCCGCAGCTCTCCAAATGACATGGATCCCATGAGGAACTGCTCTGCAACCGCTCCGTCTGCAGCTGCTACTGATGCATAGGGCTCACATCCCACAAGGCAATTGTTTCCATGGTACTTTGGCCAGCTGATCCACTGGGGACCTGCCAGGCACCCCAAATCAGTTGTGTCCTGCCCCCCCCACGTGAGAGGAGGGGGGGCTGTGGCAGGGAAGTGTTCTAACAGCCCTGCCCCTCCACCATAGACAGTTCTCCCAAGTACACTTCCCTGTGGCCATGCCGCGTGGTCTCACATGGGTGCCAGGAAGGTATGGCTTGGGCCTCCCACGTGAGCACACATTACTCGCCTCAAGTAAGGGAGCCAGTATGGGAGTATTGTTGAGGCTTCTCCGGGCGGAACGGAGGGGGGGTACAGACTCCTGGCCTGTGGCGGCTAAATTTCTGCCCCTGCTCGCCCACCAGTTTGTGGATCACCTTCAAGGTAAGCCACAGGAGATGGGGTAGCTGTCAGAGTTCTGAAATGGAACATGTTAACTACACTGCAGGGACTTTGCTTTCCTTCTTAAGTGTTGGTGCTAATGTCCTTATACCGATGGAACTTCCTTATCTCCCCAAACTCCATCCTTCAAAGGTCCCCCTCCCAAATTCCTAGGAATTCCCTAGGGTTGCCACTGCCAGGTCCCTACCTTTTGCCAGCGGTGGAATTCAGGCTCATCTTCTGGGTTTTCATGCATGTGCGCTTGTGTGTGTGCTGTGATGATGTAAACCGGAAGTGATGTCATCACACTAGGCACATCACAGGGGGACGCTCCAGCATTCAGACAACAACTCTATGGTCACTGTAGAGTTCTTGGTCAGAAGAAGAAAAAGAAGAAGAAGAGGAGGAGGAGGAGGAGATTAGATTTATAACCCGCCCTTCACTACCCAAAGGAGTCTCAGAGCTGCTTACAAACTCTTTCCCTTCCCCTCCCCACAACAGACACCCTGTGAGGTCGGTGGGCCTGAGAGAGCTCTGACAGAAACTGCTCTTTTTCAAGGACAGCTGATGTCAGAACTATGGCTTGCCCAAGGTCATCCAGCAGGTGCAAGCAGAGGAGTGGGGAATCAAACCTGGTCCTCCCAGATTAGAGTCCGCGTACTTAACCACTACACCAAACACCCCCACATGACGTGCCTAGCACAATGCTGTCACCTCTGGATGATGTCATTGTACCGGGCACATCGGGTGCCACGGAACTCTTTGGGGGTGGGGCTTCCCCACCAGCCAGCTGGCTGGTGTGTGGATTGGGGGACTGAAATTGGGGACAAACCCATCCCCATCGGGGGGGATGGCATCCCTAGAATACCCCAAACCACAGCTGGTGACCATAGAACCATACCTGGTGATCATAGAACTACACCTGGTGACCATAGAACCATGGGAAGGTCTAGCTGGGGTTTATGTAGTTCTTGGGGGGTTAGATTGGGTGTGGAGGGAGGGGTTGAGCTGCCACTGGTGAGGATTCATAGAATCATTGAATCATAGAATCATAGAGTAGGAAGGGATCTTCAGGGTCATCTAGTCCAACCCCCATACGATGCAGGACATTCACAAATACCTCCCCCCCCCCGAGACTGCTGTTCCATGCCTAGAAGATGACAGAAAATCCTCCAGGATCTCCAATCAAACTGGCCTGGAGTAACATTGCTTCCTGACCCCAAAGGCCTGATCAGCATTTCCCTGGGTATGTAAGAAAGGACCATGAGAACTAAGCACTGAGGCAACCCTTCCTGCCCTCCCTCTCGTGATCTGCCTAAGTTCACAGAATCCACATTACTGTCAGATGGTCATCCAGCCTCTGCTTAAAAACCTCCAAAGAAGGAGAGCCCACCACCTCCTGAGGAAGCCTGTTCTGCTGAGGAACCACTCTGTCAGGAAGCTCTTCCTAAGGTTTAGCTGAAAACTCTTTTGATTTAATTTCAACCCATTGGTTCTGGTCCAACCTCCTGGGGCAACAGAAAACAACGCCACACCATCCTCTGTATGACAGCCCTTCAAATATCATATCACCCCTCAGTCGTCTCCTCTCCTGTCTAAACATACCCAGCTCCTTCAAACTTTCCTCATAGGACTTGGTCTCCAGACCCCTCACCATCTTTGTTGCTTTTCTCTAGGCATATCCCAGCTTCTCTATATCCTTCTTAAATCATTGTGCCCAAAACTGAGCACAGTACTCTAGGTGAGGTCTAACCAACGCAGAGTAAAGCAATACCATTGCTTTGCATGAGCTGGATACTATACTTCTATCGATACAGCCCAAAATCACATTTGCTTTTTTAAGGCCCCTGCCACACAGCAGGGGAAAAGCCTCTTAAGGCGCGGCTTTTAAAAGCCGCGCCAACGTTGAGCGTTGAGGCACCGTGGCGGGATCCCACGGATCCCCTGGCCACGGCGCCTTTTCTCCCCGGCGCGATCAAACGCCGGGGAGAAAACACGGCCCGAACGGGAGCCGGCCGAACTGCGCATGTCCGGGCATGCGCAGTTCAGATCCGGGCCGGGGTTGAGCCAGCGCAAGGAAGCGCCAGCGATCATACGCCCCGATCGCCGCGCCGCTTCCCTTTAAACCACCTAGATAGGTGGTTTAGTTTGCGGCGGCGTTTCCTGGGAATGGGACAGTTCGGCCACGGAAGCAAGACGCTTCCCAGATGTTGTGGTGTGATCGCGCCGGTTTGATCCGGCCCCGAACTGTCCCGCTCCCGGACCAAATCGTCACGTGTGAACGGGACCTAACCACCACATCACAATGCTGACTGATGTTCAGTTTATGGTCTACTAAGACCCCCAGATCCTTTTGACACATACTACTGCCAAGACAAGTCTCCCCCATCCTATAATTACGCATTTGATTTTTGCTACCTAAATGCAGAACTTTACATTTATGCCCACTGAAATTCATTTTATTTGTTTTAGCCCAGTTTTGCAGCCTGTCAAGATCATCCTGCATCCTGACTCTGTCTTCTACTGTATTTGCTACCCCTCCCAATTTAGTAGTAGTCAGCATCCTGTGCTCCATCAGGGCTTGGTGAGGCACACATCTTTTTACATCACATGAATACCCATGGGCTACACTGTGCTTTTTGATGACATAACTTTTTTATTATTATTATTTTGCTTGTGAAAATGGCGGCAAATGGGCAGGGTGCATGCCGGCATCAGTTTTATTGTTTGCTGAGTGCAAATCAGCTGCAGGGAATTAATTCTAAAAGGAAACAATCACAGAATTTAAATCATTACAGAGAGCTAACGACTGCACCATTCCTCAGTTCAAAACCTTTGAGATTATGGCATTAATTTTGTGTGTGATTAAATCAACAGATTTTGAAGCTGATTGGTTCAAATTTTTGTGGGCAAGAAGGTATCTCTAAATTAAAAACAACAATACCGTGGAATTGGTATAAAAGCTCTTGGAGTTCCTCCAGTTATTCAGATTCATCTCTCTCATTCTCTTGCCTTTGACTTCTCCGAGAATCAGGTAAGCTTGGCTAATGCCAAATCAAAGATAGATACTAAATGAAATACAATGTTCTTTGCTTTATAAGATCTCTCTATGGAATCAATCTGCACAGATCAAGCTCTTTTAAATTTCTGAGAACTTTCCAGGCAGGAATCTCCTGCATTGTGCAGGGGGTTGGACTAGATGACCCTGGAGGTCCCTTCCAACTCTATGATTCTATGATTCTAGGTGTTTGCTATAAATTTCTCATCATCATTCTGCCTTTAAGACTTCTCTGCACAGCAGACTTGAATTGTTAACAGTGTCCATGCCTTCTTTTCACAGAACACTCAGTTCTGTGAGAGGACCTGGACATTTCTACCTGGATTCCCATCACCCTCACGAAACTAAAACCGACTTAATTTTTTTTTTGAGGGGGTGGCTAGCTTGGTCTTGTGGCTAATCAGTGGCTATTAGCCACAAGGTATAGATAGGAACTCTCAGACTGGGCAAGTGATGCTCTGTATTCTTGGTGCTTGGGGGTGAGGGCAACAGTGGGAGGGCTTCTCGTGTCCTGGCCCCACTGCTGGACCTCCTGATAGCACCTGGTATTTTGTGAGATACAGAGTGTTGGACTGGATGGGCCTTTGGCCTGATCCAACATTGGCTTCTCTTATGTTCCTAAGAGCAGAGATCCATGAGTGGCTACTAGCCACAAGGTCTAGGTAGAACTCTCAGTCTGGGGCAAGTGATGCTCTGTATTCTTGGTGCTTGGGGGTGGGGGCAACAGTGGAAGGGCTTCTGGTGTCCTGGCCCCACTGCTGGACCTCCTGATGGCACCTGGTATTTTTGGTCACTGTGAGACACAGAGTGTTGGACTGGATGGGCCTTTGGCCTGATCCAACATTGGCTTCTCTTATGTTCTCTTTTTGATCTCACCAGCTCTCAGAAGCTACACAGGGTCAGGCCTGGTTCGTACTTGGACGGGAGGCCACCAAGGAAGTCCAGGGTTGCTATGCAGAGGCAGGCAATGGCAAAACCACCTCTGAATGTCTCTCGCTTTGAAAACCCTTTTGGGTTGCCACAAGTCAGTGGCCATTTAAGGGCATAAAAAGTTAAGCTGGTTTTTAAAAAAGGACCTTTGTAGTATAGGTCCGCCCTGAATTCTATGCAGAAATTGTACATATGGCTGATATTATTTCTAACAAAATTTGTGGCAGGGTATGAGCTTTGGAAGGGGCCGTGGTTCCTTGGAGGTGAAGACACTGAGCTGCAGACTGTTATGTCTGTAGCTCGGCCGTTTGAGACCCGAGTGCCGCGGGATGGCGTGAGCTCCCGTCTCTGTCCCCAGCTCCTGCCAACCTAGCCGTTTGAAAGCAAGAATGTGCAAGTAGATAAATAGATACCGCTTTGGTGGGAAGGTCACAGTGTTCCGTGCCCCTCAGCATTTAGTCATGCTGGCCACATGACCATGGAGAAGTCTTCGGACAGCGCTGGCTCTTCGAGATGAGCCCCACCCCCTGAGAGTCGGATTCGACTAATTTTTGAGCAAGGGAAACCTTTACCTTCACGATGAGCTTTGGAGAGTCACTGCTCCTTCAGAACTCAAGAAGTGAGCAGTGACTGATGAAAGCTCACCCCCTTCCACAAATTTTGATAGTCTCTAAGGTGTTGACTGGACTCTTGCATTTTCCTATCGCTGCAGACAAACTAACATGGCTACTCCACCTTGATATTATTTCTGTTCCTTTCCTTTTTTCCTTGGGTAGCTACAGGTACAGGTATAGACAGCTTTAAAAGTGAATTATACAGAATCATGGAACATAGGCCTACTAGCGGCTAGTAGCCATGTTGACTGAAGAGAATTTCTACATTTAGTGGTAGTACACCTCTGAAATGATGTGGAATGGCATACTATAGCCTAATCAGACTGCAGAAGCTAAGCAGGGTTGGTATTTGAACGGGAGATCAGCAAGGTAGAATTCACAGAGGAAAGCAATGGCAAGCCACCTCTGCTTAATCACTTGCCTGAAATACCCTAAGGGGTTGTCATAAGGAAGAGTTCCAAGGAGGCGGCAATTTACACACACACACCCACACACACACCTCTGAATACCAGTGATAGGAGGCAACATCGTGGGAAGGCACGGGGTTCAAGGTCTTTTTATTTGTCATTCAGAGCAACTGGTTGGACAATGTGTGAGGTAGGATGATGCACTAGAGGGACCAATGGTCTGATCCAGCATGGTTCTTCTTATTTCCTTCTTATGGAATGGAGATGAGATATTATCAGCTAGAGTAAACTTTGAGTCCAATGACACCGAGAGCCAGTTTGGTGTAGCGGTTAAGTGTGCGGACTCTAATCTGGGAGAACCGGGTTTGATTCCACACTCCTCCACTTGAACCTGGCTGGATGACCTTGGGCAAGCCGTAGTTCTGACAAGAGCCGTTCTTGAAAAAGAGCAGTTTCTGTCAAGAGCTCTCTCAGCCCCTCCGACCTCACAGGGTGTCTGTTGTGGGGAGGGGAAGGGAAAGGAGTTTGTAAGCCGCTCTGAGACACCTTTGGGTAGTGAAGGGCAGGGTATAAATCCAATCTCTTCTTCTTCTTATGGAGAAGAGGTTGTCAGTGGCTATGGAGAGCCAGTTTGGTGTAGTGGTTAAGTGCACGGACTCTAATCTGGGAGAACCAGGTTTGATTCCCCACTCCTCCACTTGCACCTGGCTGGATGGCCTTGGGCAAGCTGTAGTTCTGATAAGAGCTGTTCTTGAAAAAGAGCAGTTTCTGTCAAGAGCTCTCTCAGCCCCACCTAACTCACACGGTGTCTGTTGTGGGGAGGGGAAGGGAAAGGCGTTTGTAAGCCGCTCTGAGACCCCTTTGGGTAGTGAAGGGCGGGGTATACATCCAATCTTTTCTTCTTCTTCTTCTTTAAGACCAACAAAGGTTTTTTTAATTCAAGGTATAAGGTTTCATGTGCATGCACACTTACCTGAAGGAGTGTGCATGCACACCAAAGCTTATATTCTGTTGGTCTTAACGGTACTACTGGACTCAAACTTTGTTCTGCTGCTTCAGACCAAGACGGCTACCCCTTTGTTATCACCGAAAATGCTAGTCAGCAATCAGATAGAATGACAGCCAGAGTGGTGTTGTGTTTAACAATGGAGGGACCTAATCTGGAGAACCAGGTTTGATTTCCCCACTCCTCCACATGAAGCCTGTTGGGTGACCTTGGGCCAGTCACCATTCTCTTAGAACTCTCTCAGCCTCCATTACCTCACAAGGTTCCTATTGTGGGGAGAGGAAGGGAAGGCGATTGTAAGGCACTTTGAGATACCTTGAGGTAGAGAAAAGTTGGGTATATAACCCAACTCCTTCTCGTCCTCGTCTTCATCCTCGTCCTCCTCCTCCTCTTCTTCTTCTGTGGGAGAGTAGTGGTTAAGTGCACAAACTCTAATCTGGGAGAACCGGGTTTGAGTCCCCACTCCTCCACTTGCAGCTGCTGGATGGCCTCGGGCAAGCCGTTGTTCTGGCACAGCTGTTCTTGAAAAAGAACAGTTTCTGTCAAGAGCTCTCTCAGCCCCACCTACCTCACAGGGCATCTGTTGTGGGGAGGGGAAGGGAAAGTAGGTTGTAAGCCACTCTGAGACTCCAAGTGAAGGGCGGGATATAATTCCAATCTCCTCCTCCTCCTCCTCCTCCTTATCTAAGTGACTTAATACATGTTGTTTAGCAAGCTGATTTTGCATGCGACTAGTCACTTGAAATGTCATGAGGTTTCCTTAGGTGCCTTCCCTCACCCTCATTTTTCTTACACCGGATCCCACTACTTCTGTTATATATGTTGCATGCAGTGTTCCCTCTAAGCTGAGTGAGTGTGAGCTAGCTCACAGTTTTTTAGCCTCTAGCTCACAGATTTTTGTCTTAGCTCAGGAAGGGAGGGCTCCAGAGCAAATTAATTTATGCAGTAGCCAAATTGCTTGCTCACAACTTTAATGCTAGTAGCTCACAAACTATATTTTTTCCTCAAAAGACTCCACAGCTTAGAGAGAACATTGGTTGCATGTTGTATCTTTGTGGAGTAATTAATTATTTCTCTATGGATTTTTTTAAGAGATGTGATTTTGTACTGAGCCTCACTGTGCTCCTTGTGCATGGTATGATTTTCTCCCTTCCTGATTTCTTGCAGACTCGCCCTCCATCGCTCAGACATGTCTCACTGTGGACCATCCTTCGCCATTCCATCATGCGCCTCCACCCCAGTCGTTGGCTTTGGGTCACCAGGTTTTGGCTCGGGCTTTGGCTCGGGCTCTGGCCACGGCGGGTTCTCCTCCGGGGTGCCCTCCGCTAGCCTGGGCGTCCTCTCCGGGGTCAACCCTTCCTGCATCAACCAGATCCCTCCTGCAGAAGTCGTGATCCAGCCACCTCCCGTCGTTATGATCCTCCCCGGACCCATCCTCGCTGCTACCGGCGAACCCGTTTCCGTGGGAGGCAACACTCCATGTGCTGTTAGTTACGGTGGTCCCGGCAGAGTGATTTCTGGAGGTAGCTTTGGTGGTTTTGGAGGCCGTTTGGGAAGCTCCAGGGGCCGCAGAGGCAGTCTCATCCTGGGACGCAGGGGCAGCCAGTCCCCCTGTTACTCCCCCTGCTACTCCCCCTGGTAAAATCTCAAGGGCTATTTAAATCAAATTCGGAGCAATCAAAAAACCCATGAGATAAGAGAGTGCCTTGCGGAACATTCTCCTTCCAACACGACAATGAGTTCCCAGCCTCTCGAAGACTCAGAGCCAGAACTAATTTCCATGCACACCTCCTGAATTGTGCCTTATAGATATACCTCCATTCCCTTCTTCTTTGTCTATGGAAGATACTCCATTCTGTAAACGCTTTGCCCTCTTTCAAACGTTCTCTGGGTGAAACGAGTGTCGGGGATAATTTCTTCGGTTTCCTAATAAATCTTACTTTGCATCACGACTTTGGGAGTCTGGGGTTCTGTTTCCAAGAGTTGTCCACTGACACTTATCCGAAGATTTTAGTTAAGGATGGTTGCAAAATTCAAGGGAATTAAGAGCACACCCCAAGGAAGGTGTTCTAGCATGCTCTCCCCAGTCCTTAAGGTCTTCCTGCAACTTACGTCGATGGTAAAAACGTGAGCCAACCATGTGCCTACGCATATGGACACACATTCCCAGAATAGGTTGCTAAGCTTACATTGAGCATATGGGTCTTGTCATAAGAACATAAGAGATGGCAATGTTGGATCAGGCCAAAGGCCTATCCAGTCCAACACTTTGTATCACACAGTGGCCAGAAATACCAGTGCCATCAGGAGGTCCACCAGTGGGGCCAGGACATTAGAAGCCCTCCGACTGTTGACCCCCCCCCCCAAGCACCAAGATGACAGAGCATCACTTGCCCCAGAGTCCCTATCTATACCTTGTGGCTAATAGCCACTGATGGACCTCTGCTCCATATGCTTATCTGATTCCCTTTTGAAGCCGTCCGTGCTTGTAGCCGCCACCACCTCCTGTGGCAGTGAACTCCAAGTGTTAATCAGTGGCCCCACCCCCAATGTGACTGACACAATGAGGTCACTTCCGGGTGACACCATCACGCTGGGTGTGCTTGGCGCACGCGCCAAAGAGCTCTGGGACAGGACCCGGGACTTCCCCACTGTGAGGTAAGTTGCACTTGGCAACCCTAAGTTCTCCTTTACCAATTATACCCTCAAAAGGACTGACTGGTGATGGCACCAAGCCCAAGGTCACTGGATGAGCCACGTGATGGAGGGCTAAACCCCTCTGAGGACTCACATTTTATATCCTCTCACTCCTCCTGATTACGAACCAACCCCCCTGTGCCATGAAGGTGAACCTTTGTGCAAAGGGTGCTCATCATGGAGGGGGGAGAAGTCCTCCACCCCCCTGGACCACAGGCCCCTGTCCCCAGGCAACAAAGACATCCTGCCATCCCACAGGAGCCCACCCCTAGCTCAAGAAGAGTTTTCAGCTAATCATTAGGAAGAACTTCCTGAGAGTTAGAGCGGGTCCTCGGTGGAACAGGCTTCCTCGGGCGGCGGTGGGCTCTCCTTCTCTGGAGGTTTTCAAGCAGAGGCTCGATGGCCCTCTGACAGCCATGCTGATTGTGTGAACTCAGGCAGATCATGAGAGGGAGGGCAGGAAAGTAACTTCAAGCAAAAATGGCAAAAAGTCAATAAGTGGATTGAAGAAAATTTCTAATGTAACCCCAGAATGTTGGAAGAAATATGGATTGTATGTTATGGAAAAATGAAATTAAAAATTAAAAAAAGAGAGAAAACACGCAAAAAAAAAGAGAGAGAGAGAGAGAGGGAGGGCAGGGAGGGTTGCATCAGTGCTTAGTTCTTGTGGCCCTTTCTTAGCACACCCGGGGAAATGCCAATAGACACGTTGGGGTCAGGAAGCAGTTTTTCTCCAGGCCAGTTTGCCCGGGGTTCCTGGAGTTTTTTGTGTCACCTTCTGGGATCGGAACAGAAGTCAGAAGCGCCCTGACGTCACTTAACATGCCAAGATTTAGGCTTATTTTTTTCATTTACACCCTGTTTCTCTCCATGGATGGGAGCCCGATGTGGCTTTTGACGTGGCACCTCGTCCTCGCAACAACAAACTTTTGAGGGCAAGACAGGCTGATAGACTTGGGGTCACCCTGGTGGGCTTCTCTAGTTGACAGGATTCAAACTTGGTCACCCCTGTACTCAGACATTGTTCCGTATCATCACAACATGTTTGCCAAACATTTGAAGGTCACCTTTGAAAAAGCTTATTGCCCTGACAACAACAATTCTGAGAGAAACAGGCAGTTTTTGTGTGCTCGAGGGGGGGCACAACACCCTCCGCCTTAAATTAAACTAAATTAAATCAAATCAGAAGAGTAAATCAGAAGAGGTTTTGGCTAAACACGAGGAAGAACTTCCTGACAGAGCAGTTTGGTGTAGTGGTTAAGTGCGCGGACTCTAATCTAGGAGAACCGGGTTTGATTCCCCACTCCTCCACTAGCACCTGGCTGGATGACCTTGGGCAAGCCATAGTTCTGATAAGAGCTGTTCTTGAAAAAGAGCAGTTTCTGCCAGAGCTCTCTCAGCCCCACCTACCTCACCGGGTGTCTGTTGTGGAGAGGGGAAGGGAAAGGAGTTTGTCAGCCGCTCTGAGACACCTTTGGGTAGTGAAGAGCGGGGTGTAAATCCAATCTCTTCTTCTTCTTCTAATCTGGGAGAACCAGGTTTGATAAATCCAAACTGTTCTTTTTCTTCTTCTTCTTGGTTAAGAGTGCGGACTCTAATCTGGGAGAACTGGGTTTGATTCCCCCACTCCTCCACTTGCACCTGGCTGGATGACCTTGGGCAAGCTGTAGTGCTGATAAGAGCTGTTCTTGAAAAAGAGCCATGTCTGTCAGAGCTCTCTCGGCCCCACCTACCTCACCGGGTGTCTGTTGTGGGGAGGGGGAGGGAAAGGAGTCTGTAAGCCACTCTGAGACACCTTTGGGTAGTGAAGGGTGGGGGATAAATCCAATCTCTTCTTCTTCCTCAGTGGAACAGGCTTCCTCGGTGGTGGGCTCTCCTTCTTTGGAGGTTTTCAAGCAGAGGCTAGGTGGCCATCTGATGTTGGATCCCCAAGCATCGAGAATAAATCCACGTTTCAGAAAAGCAAAATTTATTTCAAAGCTTTGGAAAGATACTCAAACAAGTCCTTTGTTAGGAATGGGTACAAACAGCCAGGGCAAATATAATAAAGGGATTTGAACCAGGTACCGAACCAATGGCGGGCAAAGGAAACGGTTGCGCGCTCAATCCCTGGGAACACTACTATCTCCAGACATAACACAGGTGCAGTTCCCAGGCTCGAAAAGCAACAAGCTAGCATTCAAGCGTACCTCCTACACCACGTCCTCCAGATGTTTGGCTTAAGCGTTACAGCAGAGTAAAATGCAAGCTAGCAAGCAGAGGGGGGGGAATGAACTGTACAGCCGTACAGGTAACACAGAATACAATGGCAGCTTGCTGACATACTGCCCCCTCAAAAATACACTCTATCCCCCGTCTCCCGGGCAGGGCGGGAGATCTCCCGGTTTGGGTGGGAGACCTCCCGGTTTGTCCGGGAACTCTTCGTGGAACTTACGAAGCAGATAAGGGGCCCGAATATCCCCTTCTTCCACCCATTCCCGGTGCTGGGGTCCGAAGTCCACCCACTCAATGAGGTACCAGAGTTTACCACGCTTCAGTTTGGAATCGAGGATGTCCGCAATCTCAAAATGTTCATCCCCCTCCAGTAGCACAGGTGGAGGGGGAGTCACTGAGGGCCTCCAGGGAGAGGTACCAGGGTCCTTTTTTAATAAACTCATGTGGAAAACAGAATGTAAAGCCCTCAGATTTTTCAGTAGTTCAACATCAACAGCCACGCCATTGATAATTTTACGCACTTTGAAAGGCCCAATGAACTTCCAACCTAGTTTCTTGCTCGGTCGTAACATCTTGATGTTCTTAGTAGAAACATACACCATATCACCAGGTTTCAAATCCAATCCCACCACCCGTCCCTTATCCGCCTGGGCCTTATAAGCTGCTTTAGCAGCATCCAGGGTTTTACATAATAGAGGCCATGCATCCTGCAACGACTTACACCAAGAACCAGCATTTCCCCCCAGTGGAGTATCAGTGTTCCCCAAAAAGGGGAGAGGGGGGCTATCATAACCAAAGACTGCTTTGAAAGGGGACATGCCAGTAGAACTATGCAAGGTGTTGTTATAACAGTATTCAGCCAGAGGCAAAAGATCACACCAGTCAGTGCTGATCCTGTGAACTTAGACATATCATGAGATGGAGGGCAGGTAGGGTTGCATCAGTGCTTTGTTCTCATGGCCCTTTCTTACACGCCCAGGGAAATGCTGGTTTCCACGTTGGGGTCAGGCAGCAATTTTTCTCCAGGCCAGTTTGGCTGGGGATCCTGGAGGTTTTTTGTGACACTCTGGGCATGTAACGGATCACTGAGTGTGGGTGAGGCATTTGTGAATTTCCTGCATTGTGTAGGGGGTTGAACTAGATGACCTGGAGGTCCCTTCCAGCTCTTTGAGTCTATGATTCTTCTAGAGGGCATCCCCAGGGCTCTTGGAACCTCCTTCGCCCGATCTATTTCTAGGGTCTCCACAGTGGGCAAAGAGTTCCTAGCATTGTCCAGAGACCAGCAGTTGTTAACACACTTCAGAGAAGTCTCTATCAGTGATTCAGTGAGGCAGGAAGCATCCTATTGTGTAGTGGGAGCCGCATGGATCGACGACAGACAACGATGTGGTGCATAGCACGCTTTATTAGGCACACAAGAAGACATGCATACAAACGGCCGGCAGGCCAAATATATACACACCTGGGGACAACCCCTTGGTCACCATTGGTGGGTTTGAATCTCCCGCCAAGGCTCCCATTGGTTCCCCAGTGGAGGGACTAGGATCCTAGTCCCCATTGTCTTACCAGACTGAAGCTCGGGTATATGCGCTGACCTCCGGTGGCGGTCAGTGGACACAACACCCCTCCCCCATAGTCCAGAACCACCCCTAGGTGGCATAGTCTTTCAGGTACGCTGGGGGCTGTCGCACCCTTGCCGATCGTCTGGGGCCCTGTGCTGGGGCCACCTGGGTTCCGCCCTCCGGTGCGGAAGCCGGCGGTGGAGCTGGGGCCTCGGTGGTCTCCAGCTCGGGCTCTGGGGCCCCGTTGTCCGAGACGATGGTGTCCAGCAGACCATGGGTGGCGAAGATCCTCCGGAGGGCGCGGATGGTCGCCTTGGTGGATGTCGCGGAGACGGGGCTGATCTCCAACCACTTGGTGTAGGAATCCACCATGACCAGAAACAACAGTCCATGAAATGGCCCGGCAAAATCGATGTGTAGCCGAGACCATGGGGTGCGGGTGGATTCCCAGGAGGAGGGTGGCACCCCTGGCGGGCTAG